CTGGGCACCACTGAAAAGAGCTTGGCCCCATCCTCCTGACACCCACCCTGCAGATATTTATAAGCATTTATTAGGTCCCCTCGCAGCCTTCTCTTCTTCAGGCTGAACAAGCATTACTGTCCATGTTGTCTCCTCACTTCAACAGAGACGAAGGGAGGTACTCACATAGCACCATTTTGGGAGTCACGTCAGAACCTCTTGTTTAATATTGTCGCAGTCATTCGCTGATTTACCCCAGGAGTTGAGGGGCTTTGGCCCATTCACTCGTAGGGTTTAGCGTGGCAGCGCACGTTCCAGGTCGGGCGCTGCAAGAGGGGTCGTGTGACTGCACAGCCTCCCAGTGCCGACCAGAAATGCGACTGGGATTGTAAGCTGACTTCCCTGGGCACTGCAAAGGCAGAACAGAAAGATCCTGCAGTGGGTAACAGAGACAGCAGGCTGTCTGTATTCGATACTGCCTGGTTTCTGCATGAAAAGTTCATACTTGGTCTTCCTATTTTTTTTTTCTTCCATATGTAAGGGAAAACCTTTATTTTACTTCATTGGGAGCAGTAGGCACTGGCAAAAGTGTGTTCTGAGTTCGGCTTTTTTGGTAGTCTGATTTTTCAAAAGACACTGTCAAACACAAACGTCTTTAAAGTATCAGTTATCTTACAGGAACGTTTCATGAAACGTTGCATCTAGATAGTTGATTGAAGAGGTCTGTTTGACAAAATTCTGTGGGCGATATTAAAGACTGCTTTTTTCATGGGTGTGTTACAAAGCATACTTTCTTATGAATACTAAAAAAGTATGCTAAAAAGGTACGCTATAAAGTGTGCTTGAATTGCAGTTTTAGCTTTGCTCAAATATTGGATTGGGATTTTTTTTAAGGAAAAATTTTAAAAGCTGGCTAGTATTAAATCTTCCTAATAAGCAAGTCTCTCTTCCACTTAATTTGTGCCTTTGTTGTGGCTAACAAATAATTTGCTGTATGGGTTTTTCTGTACGCCATTGATGGAATATATAAGCTTGTCATCCTAGTGTGCTGGAAATGCTACACTCAAATCGAGTGTTCCTTTCTGGTTTTGTATATCCTCACCTGCTCCTCACTGTAAATCACCGAGATGTCAAGAGCAGTGATTAATTAAGCTGCACGTGCAAGTGCTTTTTTTCACCTGTCAAGTAGGAAGAAAACTTACTATAGTGAATTGTGCGATGCTGTTTAATTCATCTCTTTTTATTCCAAGCTCTGAGGTTTGCAGAAATATTTTAGTCTATTTTTCATTAAAATTTCAGTATTAATAATAAGGCAGGGTTTGGGAGCCGTGTCTATCCGAATTATACTACAGGAAGGATTGTATTTAAGACTCTGGGAACATAAATAACCGTGGTCTTGAGGCTGCGTGTGTTTTCATCTCACAGTACTCAAATGACTTTCAGCTGGCTCCTTATTTAAATAAACCAATTAATACTACATAACTACCTATCAGTTTCTTATTTATGTGTATGTATTGTCATATATGTGTAATTTTATCGGAATTTGAAAAGCTTGGATGTTTTTCACACTCTTCGGGGCAAACAATGAAACAAAATTGTATAGTGATCCTAATCTATTATTAAAAGGTCCTGGAAAGGAAGATTACAAGGTAGCTTCAGGTTTTGAATCGGGTTTGCCATTGGTTTAGCAGCGGGTGGGCAGGCAGATGCCTGCTCGGAGTAGAACCTATTGCCATTTTTCACCATTGATAGAGTAGCCTTTCAGAGTCAATGAGCTCTGTCAATGTGAGCTTGTCAAGGCTACAACTTCATAGACCTGAGAGGCGGTTTGAGAGGTCAGCCCTTTTCAGGTTTGCTGTGATGCAAATGAACTTTAATGCTTAAACAACTATTGGAATTTTTATGTCTGCTCCTTGTTCTTTTTTCTTCACAAAGTCATTGACGAGACATTCAGTGCTTTTTAAATTGGAAGTTGCATTGTGCTAAAGACCTAGTACAGATTTACGGAGGGCTGAAAGCAGTTAGATCATGTTCTTTTCATGGTGCGATTAGAATCAAAT